GCATTCTTTCTGGGCTACCAACAATTTAGCTGCTGATTACTTCTTTTACCTTGTTACTTGGCTGTCACTGTGATCATGCACTTCTTTCACGATCACTGGTATTTTTGGAATATCTACTCATTTCTGGAAAATTCTTGGTTCCTTCAGGCAAACACTTGATCTTTTCCTAACATTAAAAACTAGTTTACCTACAAAGTCTAGTTAAAATTTCCAGGAAACATTTTTTCAACACAATGCGACATTCTCCCTATGGTACTAGAAACCCAAATCATTGCATGAATCAATACATGTGAAAGTCATAGTAATTAGTACAAATTAGTAAAGCTGAATTTTTCTGTATGCTGAATTATATACTTTACATATTATTAATCCAGTATTTACATAAAGACTGCATTAACTCAATTCTCCAGCTAATAGCATTACTGGAATCACAAGTATGTAATTTAAAGCATACAAGCAACTTAACCATACTCTTTTAATAGAGTGTATGTACAAACACAATCCATACTAAACTGATAAATTTCTTAATATTAAATCAAGCCATTATAGTGGAAAACCATCATCAACTGTTATTGAAGCAATCCTTGTTCTGTGTTGTTCCAAACATCAGACAATCGCCATGTTAGCATTAGATGAGTGTCATAAATCAATGTGGATCTTAAAAGGCCAAAGAAATCAAAGCCAAACACAAGCTAAAACTAAATTCTTACACAATAAGGCTGAGAAACACAAGTGCATAGAAGATAAAATCCATGTTTTAGCCATTTAGCTTCATTCGATACCTTCCAAAAAGAGTTTATTCCACTTTGTAAGAATTGCAAGCCTCTGAAAAGCCAATCCCAAAATATTACACACATAATCTAAGTTTTAAGCCAATGACTCCCCATCAGAGCTGCACATTAGAATCACACAGAGAGCTTTAAAAAATATCAGTGACCAGGACCCACTCCCAGAAACTCGGATTTCACTGCTTTGACACAGGGCTCTGGCATTGATCTTTCTTAAAAGCTCCCCTGATGATTCTAATATGCAGCCAGGTGGAGAACCACTACTTTAATGCAGGTTCTTGGGACAATAATTGCTCTGAGGTTGATAAACATGCTTTTTTGCCTTTTAATGAGATTTTATTAAAACTACTCAATTCATTCCACAGCTAATGAAAGGCTGTTACATTGCAAGCACTGTGTTAATGGGGAAAGATGTGTAAGAAACATTCCCCGCCCTCAAGAAGCTCCTTATTAGTGAACTAGAGAGATCCATAAATAAGTAACTGTAATTAAATATAAGTGCTCTCGAGGTGTAAGCAAATACAGCATGCCTCACACAGTTGCATGTCATCCTTAAGCAAGGGTCATGCTGCATCATTCCAATTTTAGTGTATGTCCTATCAGAGCAGGAAAGTCAGAAGCTACAGGTTACTAAATAATACGGCAAAGGTACCAACACAAGGTAAAAATGGTGTGTATTTTGTTATTCTTTCATAGACACTGCTGTACCAAGAAAGTAGGCATTTTTCTATGTTTTAATTTGGATGAATTGTCTTAAATTTCCTTCATGTAGTATTACCGGTTGTACACTTACTTATACTTGTAAAAGATACAGTAAATGATCATGACATAAAAATTAGTCATTAACCTTATTTGCATAACGCCTTTCCTTTCCAGTAATTGCTACATTTGCTAAGACAAGAAGTTTTGGGACTACGATAAGGTCGTATTATTGGAGATTTGTTTCAGTCATTTGAAAGATAGTTATGTAGAAAATGTTACAGAACTAACAAGCATTCAAAGGAGTTTCTGCAAGATTTTCAAAAATGAGAAACACAGGGAAAAGAGTTTTAATTTTTAAAAAGGGAAACGACATCCTTCCAATATTTGTAACAAATTGGGCACATGTTCCCTCAAAGACAGCTTTAACAAGGGTAAAGGCTGCAGCCACTGGAAAGAAAACATATTCCAAATAATGATCTTATATTTCAAAACCTCACTAACTCTAGAAGTTGTCTTTCTCAACCAACGGGAAAAAAAACACACTGAAGGGTCTAAATTAGACGAGAACTTTCATTTATGCCATCAATTAAGGCCAAGTACACAGAGGGTAAGTGAGTAGGTGGTTGCGTAGGTAGAGGAGTGAGTGGGAGGTCAATTAGTCTTGAAAAGTGAAATCTATTTTAAAGTACCTTAGTAAAAATTTAAACCTATTAAGATCTAGTGGTGAAAAACAACTTGTGATACTAATTTGGTGAAAAAGAAAACAAAATTCCATAGAACTTGAATAGAAATCAATAAAAAGGTTTTCAGTACATGCGAACATCTTCAAGGGCTTTCTGTTCAAATTCAGAGGTGAACAAATTCTAAGTTAAAAATGTATGCTGTCAAGGTCCCTGCAAGAAAATCTCAAGCTAATTTCAATTTCCAGATCAATATATACTAAGACAATTTACTAGAGAAACCTTCAACCTTTACTCAGGTTGAGGAACACTATTATTACATTCTTTAACAATAAGGCTAGCTTGAATTCATTATTTCACGTAATGGCATTTTATAATTGGCACTGACCAAGTCAGATTTGAATTGGTTTCAAATATGAATGAGATTTCACAGTTCATAGTAGTTAAGGTAGCCATAGAGTACCTATCACCTCAAAATTAGCTTGCTGCCCCTCTTTATGCAGCTCTGAAACAGCCAGAAAAGATGAATTTTCTTCTCCCAGGGGTGTTTCCTGAAAATATTCTATCAATTACAAATCAGCGGAATACTGACTGTGTTAATGTGATTCTGACCATTTCTTTTTGATATCCAAAGAGATCACATCATCGCCCTTCCAGACCTTAAGGAATCAGAACTGGTTACCAAAACTGATTCAGTGATGGCTATTTTCCATCTTCACAATATAATGAACATTTTAATCTCACATTTTCCAATTATGACTTTGTTAGTTCGTTTACATCAGCTATAACTAAGATGCAACAAACGTAATTCACCCACACATACGGTCATTTGGAGGCTCTTGGGAAACACCTAATTTATCTTCACTGGGTGCTGCTAAGAATGAGGAAACCAAGGAGATTTTTGATACATTTTTCTCTCTAGAACTGTGCTATTCACATGTGGCTACTAGGCACCTGAAACGTGGCTGGTCCGACTGGGAAACTGAATTTTGAATTTTATTTAATTTTAATTAATTAAAATTTAAATTTAGAAAAACGTACTTGATTCAGTTATTGGAAAACTTTTATGTATATTGGGTACGTATATTGGGTAACTTGGGTATGTGAATCTACTTTTGTAAATGCACATTTTATGAAACCTAAATACAGATTAAGTATTTCTGATTTTTATCAGAAATGTAGCTTAGTGTCAGAATTGAGATGTGCTGTTAGTGTAAAATACACATTGGGATTTCAAAGACTTAGCATAAAAGATGTAAAATACTTCATTAATATTTTTTCATACTGATTACATGTTTAAGTGTTAAGTTTGGATCTACAGGGTTAAATAAAATATTTTAGTAAAATTAATTGCACCTGTATGTTTTTATTAAATGTGGCTACTAGAAAATTTTAAATTACAAATGTGGCTCATAATATATCTTTTGGACAGTGCTGTTCTAGAACACTTCACAACCACTTTAACAGGACACATTTGGATACTTTCCTTTTAACAGTCTGGCTGGTCATGTAACAATAGGGCAAGGAGTAACATGTCCTCATATCAATTGGGTCTGAGTAAAGTGTGTAGCAAGCTCTACCCACAATTTCACCATGTGAGGCAACACTGTAATACCTCAATATGGAAAGAAAAGGAAACAAATTAGCACTCAAATTGAAATCGTGTACTGCAGACAACTTAAAAGAGATAGGGCCAACTGCTCTAAGGTCTTGGTTTCATTTCCCAACTGTGGACCTTAAAATAGACAATAAAGCACCGCTTCCAAAAAAAAAAAAGAGGTAAGATATTTCAATGGTAGCTCTAGCGATCCTTATTAAGCAAAAATTTGCTCTTAAATCTTATCTCCTCAACTTCTAAAGCCACAGAATACACGCTGTGTTAGGAAATCAACTTCAGATTGCCAGCATTTCCTTCACAAGCAAATTAGCAGGATTGTGCACTTGGAATACTGTTTGACAAGAATGAAAAGGAAACTATTCAAAATAGATTTAAGGAATGGACAATTAGATGAGGAACTGCAGATTTAATTCTCAATCAGCACTGTGATTAATCTGATTCCCTGCTTTTCCCCAGCGTAATTATACAACACAGATGAAAGGATGAGCATTTGGACTGTCAGTTCTATATTCTAGACCAGCCCGGTGACTCAAAGCAGACGGCTCTACCACGCTAACCACCATCCCAACAACAGTCGAGGGGAGCCTCGAGCACTGATTGAACAGTCATTGCATAACGAAGCTTTAAAAATTCGAATGCCCCCAACTCTTTCCACGTTCATGTACACCAGGAGGGAATGTGCTGAAACTGAACGCACCCGGTCTTAAATGATCCCCTCCAATCCGGGCATGGGGTGTACACAAAGGCATCTGTCTAATATCCCGCACAATAGACACACACCCCACAATTAAAACCCTGGACTCACTCTCTCTCTCTCACCACACAAGCAAAGGAAATGCAAGCTGCTCTTTTCAAAAATGGTCTATGGCACATGCAAGGTAACAAAAACCCCAACTGAAGCAACTATAAAATCGGCTGTGCCACGTCCCTGTGCAACCGTCAGATAAAATGCAGGCAGCCGGCCCCACGCCTTACGGGGTGGCCAGCCTCGGCTCGGTGGCCTCAATGGACCGCTGAGAACCCCCAGGCCCCCGCCTGGCAGGAGCTCCAGGTACACGTCTATAAATACTCCAAGATGAGAAGGACGAGAGGGGAAGAGGGGAAGAGGGGAAGGAGAGAGGGCAGGGGGCAGGCCCGGAGGGGGTGCGGGAAGACCGGGGCATCACTGAAATGCATTTTTCCACACTCCCGCTCCCTCGCGTGGAGACTCACTTTCCGATCACCTCGCACAGCTCGTACACATCCTCGAACAGCACGTCGTCGTCGGCCATGGTCCGGAGGGGATAGCGGCCGCAGCGTGGAGGGCTTCGAAAACGGGGGTGGGGGCGCCCAAGAGCTCAGTGCCCAGCCCCGGGATCTTCTCCTCCCCTCAGGACCCGCGAGCCCTCGGTGCCGAGGACGCTCGAGTGGGGCCGCGAGGCCCAGAGA